ATGATAAAAATATTTTTATTAAAAAAAAGCTAAGCCCCAAAGACAAATAAGATTACTTTGTCATCGAATGCGGTTGATGACTACACATCGGTTCTTAGGAATCGTGGACCTGATCACAGCGTCTGTTTGATAACCTAGTGTGAGTATCTGCTTGCCGCCCAGTTCAGCTCACTGGCTTCTGACTCATGCCTGTTACCCTGATTCCTTCGTGAAAACCCATCTCAGCTCCCAGTTGGAGGGTGGGACCTCTTAAGTTTTATGCTGTTTTTGTTACAGGCACTTTAATGTTATAGTTCAAATACTGAAACATTTACCTTAGAAAGAACTTACCAAACAAAAAATGTTAAATTATTAAGTCTTAATTACAAATCACCATTTTAAGGTATAACTTGAAAATTAAATTGATAGAATAAATGAAAATAAATCAATTGTTTGAGCAACTGCATTTGTTATAGGCTGGTGTGTAGCCAGAATCAGGCTGAGGTGTGATGCAGGGTTAGTTGGTTGTTTCCACTTTAGTGAGCAAGGGTCGGTTTTTAGAAAGGGTTGGATTTTCACCAAAGAACAGTTATACTGGCCACACCTTTCCCTCCCCAAGGCAAACATCTGCTGCATCCCATCACAGTTTCATTTAACAAATGTCGAAGTAGCATTCACAAAGTGCAAAGCCCTGAGCTGGGGAGGGACACAGAGATGAAAGGCTCGGTAGAAACCCTCAGGGAGAGAGAGGCACACACAATAATGGAAGGGAACAAAAGGGGTAAAGTGTAGGGGTAAAACACCCAAACATGGCAACGAAAGGCAAGAGAGGCCTGTGAAACCCTGGGCCACAGGTGGGGGTGGAGGGTAGGGCAAGCTTAGGGCATCAGGTGTGGCTTCACGACAGGGCTGCTTGTCAAATCCCCTCCTCTCACATCTTGCATTGAGAGTGTGGCCTGTATGGACGCAGGAAGTGAGCTCTGGTAGAGGAGCTCAGGCCACAGCTCCTTCCTAGTTCTAGACCTGGCTCTTCCCCTTTCTTGCAGGTGAGGTTGCCTGACTACTACCTGTTTCCTTTTTTTTTTTTTTTTTTTGAGACAGGATCTTGCTCTGTTGCCCGGGCTAGGATGCAGTGGCACGACCAGAGCTCACTGCAGCCTTGAACTCCCAAGCTCAAGTGATCCTCTTGGCCTCAGCCTCCCTGGTAACTGAAACCACAGGTGCATGCCACCATACCTGGCTAATTTATTTTTATTGTTTTTAGAGACAAGGTCTTGCTGTGTTGCCCAGGCTGGTCTCAAACTCCTGTCCTCTAGCGATCCTCCCACCTTGGCCTCCCAAAGTGCTAGGATTACAGGCATTAGCCACTGCACCTGGCCTCATCTGTTTAAAATGGGATCATGGTACTACCTCATGTGGTTATTTCGATTATGAAGTTCAGACATATAAGTGTTTAAATGGTGCCTGGCTTGCAAGAGTGCTATGTTAATGTTGCATGTAAGTGACTGCCTCATGTTGAGAGGGTCACAAAGGTAATGCATCTCAGTAAAGACAGTGCGCCTAGCACAGAGTAAGCACTCAAGTCGGTTTTTTTTTTTAACTTTTTGAATTGAGATAAAACCATTTAACCATTTTAAAGTGTACACTTCAGTGGTTTTTAGTACTTCTACAGTGTTGTGCAACCATCATCACTATCTGATTCCAGAACATTTCCATCACCCCAAAAAGAAACCCTGTGCCTGTTAACAGTCACTTCCAGTTCTTCCCTCTCTCCATCCCCTGGCAACCACTGATCTACTTTCTCTGTAGATTTGTCTATTCTGGATATTTCATATGAGTGGAATCATATAGCATGTGGCCTTGTGTGTCTGGCTTCTTTCACTTAGCATACTGTTTCGAAGGTTCATCTATGTTGTAGCATGTGTCAGTACTTCATTCCTTCTTATGACCATTGTATGGATATACCACATTTTATCAGTCAATGCCTAGTTCAAGGACTCAGGTTCTGTGAGTCTAAGCCCTGGGCTCCTGTCGAAGGGGACAAATATATCAAATACCCTGCCTCTATTTGGTTCCAACTCACTTGGGTTCTTAAAACCCCGTGGAGGAGGCGAGGTCTATTCTTTGGATGAAAAAAACTGAGGTCTTAAGATGAGACCTGCCAAAGATCCTACAGTTCACGGGAAAACCGGGGATTTGTTACACCAGATTCCGGGGCCACCGGGCCAAAGGAAGAAATCCTGTCTTTCACCAAGCCCAGAAGTGGACACGCTCAAATTTGCTCGTGGCCCCTCCCAGTTTGGGCCGAAAGGAGGTGGGTTCAGCAGGCGCTGGGCCGCGGGGGCCAGTTCGCCTCGCGCTGGCCTCTCGGCACGTAGCGGGGCTCAGCCAATCAGCGCGGGGCGTCTGTAGTCATGGCAACAGGGCGCTTCGGCGCTCCGCAAGTTTAGCGCGTGTAGCAAGACTTGGTGTTACTGCTTTCCTGGTATCCCGCGCCCGCAGCAAGCAAGCACACGTCGACGCAGACGCATTCGCACACGGCCTGTAGCACCCTCTCCCAGCACCGCGATCATGGACGATTCCTGTGAAGCGTTCAAGAGCCTGTTCTTGCTGCTCGGTAAGCCCCGGAAGCATGCCATCTGCAGGAAGCCCTCAGTGCCCTGGACTCGCGAAAGTGGGGTGAGGACCAGGCAGGGCCCGGCGGGAGAGCTCATTGTGCCGTCCCCTCTCCAGGTGAGAGGTTGCCAGGGAGTTGGGGGCATGTTCATTTCTGAGATTTCCACTCCCGGGCCTAGTTGGAGAAGTGAGCCAAGTTGCCGTGGCTCGGAGCCAGAGGCCTGACCCATGTGCCTGGGGCCCTCCAGCTCGCTCTATTTCTCTGAGGTACATTAATGTATTCAGCACTGGAGAAGAGGCATGGGCAAGACTTCGGTCGTCTAAGTTTTGCCAAGAAAGTGCCAGGGAACAAGTTCCTGGCAAAGCACTGCAGTTTCGAAGGTGAAGGACAGAGATAATGGATAATTACAGAATAAGAAGGGGTGAGTGCCGGGTGCAGGGTTGATGCCCGGGAATAAGAGGTGCACCGAGGATATGGGACAGAGAGGAACAGTGTTTCCTGGAAAGAATCCTGGAAAAGATCTTTACACTGGGGCTCAAAGGTTAAAGAGTTCTCCAAGCCAAAAGGAAAAGGAAAAGCATTTCAGGCGAGGAAACAGCATGCACAGAGGCACAGAGGCCTGGTGTCTCCAGGAACCTGCTGATAGTTTGAGTGTCTCTGAAAGTGTGGTGAGAGAGGTCAGAGGGGTCGGGATGATGAGAGATCTTGTAATCCAGGAGGTGGAGAAACCACTGGCAGTGACAGGATTCGGAGCAGTCAGCAAAGGCGGAGACTTGAACTGGCAGACTCAGAATGTTGCGTGGGAGAAGAGACCTGCACTGTCAAGCTGGAAGACTGAGAGTCTTCTCCATGACTCTGCTCCAGTGCTGAACACATAAATATCCAGTGGAGAAACAGGGTGAACCGGAGGGCCTGGCCACCTTCCCCAGGCACACGGGTCGAGCCTCTGGTCAAATGCTCCGGCCAAAGATGCTGGGAGGTGAGGGAGAGGGGCCAGGCTAGTAGACACTACGGGGACTTGAGCGCAGATTAGTCAAAGAACATGGAAGGAGCAATCAAAGATGATGCTCAGGTTGGTAGCTAGGGGACCTGGTAGATGGAGATCCTTTTCACAGAGATAGAGAACATGCCTGAAGGACCCAAGTAGGTGGTGGCAGGGGAGTGGAGACAAATGCAGTCTCAGTTGGTTGAGTTCAAGATCCTTGTAAGCCATTCAAGTGGAGATGTTTTTGGAGCAACTGGATATATAAAATCGGAGCTGATTCCGAGTCATAAGTATTAGTATGGGTGTCAGTGTCCTCAGGACTAGAGGGTCTTAGAAACGTGAGAGTGGAGCAGATTATTTGAGAAAAGAAGAGAACCTGGGTGTCAGCCCAGAAAGCACAGGCCCAAGAACAGCAGCCAGAGAGGTAGGATGGGACTTAGGGAAAGATTTGAATCAGGAGCGAAGAGAGGGGAGATTATCAAGAAAGAATGGAATTATCTCCAGACACTGGCAGGCTATTCCAGAAAAAAGGGAACAAGTGTGTTTTCTGGGCATCAGTGGAGAGGACTGGGGCCAAACGGTAGAAATTCCAGGGAAGCAAATTCTGGGTCAATATAAGGAAGTATTTTCTAGCAGTCAGATTTAGGGTCCACAATGTTAAACAGAGAGCTCCATTTTACCTATGGTTTATAATGTCAACGGAAAAAAGCCAAACTCTGTAAAATAATTTTAAAGAAACTTATTCTGAGCCAAATTTGAGGACCAGGACCTAGAGCCACACCCAAGAAGCCTTGAGCAAGTGGACTCACCGTGGCTGGGTTACAGTTTGGTTTTATACATTTCAGGGAGACAGGGGTTACAGGTAAAGTCATAAATCAATATGTGGAACGCATACATTGGTTTGGCCTGAAAAGGTGGGCCATCTCAAAGGAGAGGGGCAGGGGTGGGAGTGTGGAGGGACTTACAGGTTATAGGTCAGTTTAAAGATTCTTTGACTTGTAATTAGTTAAAGACATGAAGCTTTGTCTAAAGGCTTGGAATGTTTTAACATAAGGAGCTGTTTATGCGAGAGGACACAATCCACTGGACATACATTTGTTGTGTAAATTGAGGACCTGCAGGTTTGTCTCTCATAGGCTTAGGCCTGTCAATGGGTTACAAAGGATGTCCCCAGGAAGGGAGGGGGGCATGATAAGGCAAGTCTGACCTCCCTCCTCCTGGCAGGCAATTTAGTTTTAGGATATGCCTTTGGCCAAGAAGGGGTCCATTCAGTCAGCCAGTGGGGGGCGAGCCCTAAGATTTTATTTCAGGTCATGATAAACATGGGCAAAGTCTGCCAGTGGCATTGAGGAAAGAGTCCTTGACCTGGGCAGGGATTGAAGCGGTTAGGTTTTGAGAGCTTTCCTCACCAACCCCACAGGAACGTTTTCACACAATCTCTACCCTTAACTACACAAGGACAGACGGCCTCTTTTATTTTATTTCTGTCAATGGACACAGGGCCCCCAAGAGCACTAGAATGACACTCCACGAGGGGGTGCTGTGGGCACCCCTGGAGAGGGGTGGTTGGCGGGTTGTAGGTTGGGGACTATGTGATAAGAAGGACTCCGCTGCAGGGAAGCCTGGGGAGCGCCGTGCCCTTCAGAGGGCACGGCAGATGTGAAAACCGAAAACTTGAGAGCCGGGGAGGAGCCAGGAGCCTCTGACAAGCAGAAGGGAGGCCAGTGAAGCCCGGCCAAGCAGCCGAGAGGCGGGCGGGGTGGAAGGAGAAGAGGGGTGAGAAGGGAGCAGGACCTCCAGGTCGTAGGAGGGGTCGTTATTCTAAGAGCACCACAAAGCCGGGGACGGACTTCCGTGGGGGAGTGACAGGATCTGATTTTACATTTTTAAAAGACTCTTCTGGCTGAGGGCAGAAGGTGGATTGGGAGTCTGGGGAGGACGCAAGTGGGAGTAGCAAGAGCAGTGAGGGCAGTGAGGGGCAGATTTTGAAGGGTAAAGTGGAAATCCCTTGGGCTGGCATTTAAGATGACTCCAACCTTGTCTCCCACTGACCTCCTCGTTTGCATACAATATGCTTCCAGTTCCCACCCCAACTATTCCCCTTGAAAGCCAGCCATTCGTGAAGGTCCACCTCAATGGCATCTCTCCCCTGTTGACCCCCGAGGTCCGAGGTCCGGCAAGTCTCTCCCCGGCAAGTTTCTCCCCCGACTGAGAGCACCTTGTTGCCCTCTGGTAGCCCTACCTTGTTCCGTCTGGCGCACCGTGGTCAGGCGCCCCGCACCGTTTGAATCTGCACCTGGCACAGCAGCAGGCCTGGGGGATTCTCAGTGAATACTGGTTTGATGAATGACTGAATTCTCAGGCATCCCCTGATAGGGATGGACTTTCTTGTCGTCCAGGAAATGACACGAGTTTATATGTGCTCACTTCTGTCCCTACTGATGTACATTTTTGTTATTTGCTGACTATGAAAGGAACACATGGGCATTGTAAAGAGACTTCACAAATGTATTGAATCACTTTATGCCAGGCTGGGCAGCAGGGACACAGGGGTACTAAGACGCAGTCCCTGCTACTGGGAAACTCACGGGCTGTTGGGAAAGAAAGACTCATAAAGCGTCTTCATTTCAGAAAAATACGACAAATGCTGCTATGGGACTAAGTAAGGGGGCTCTGGAGACCCAGAAGGGGGCACGAGAGAGGGGTTGGGAAGGCTCCAGGAACAGTGATGCCTGAGCTGAGTCTCAAAGGACGAGTTGTGGATAATCAGGTGAAGCGGCAGAGAGAAGGGCATGTCAGAGGGAGGAGGCAGGAGGCGGCCCGGGGTGGCTGTGTGCTGGGAGGCGGTGCAGGCCGGAACCATGGGCAGCTCAGTCTGGGCACAAATAGGGTGAGGCAGAAGGAGCAGAGAAATTAGAGAAGCTGGCTGGGGCGGGAGGATGGGGGGCAGGTTAAGGCTACTGGGAGCCATGGATGGGATTTAAGCAGAGGAGTTTAGGTTTTAGAAGGAAAATGATAATGACAATATTTCCAATGATGATGTTATATCCCTTCTGATTTTTAGAACACTTTCATATCTGTTGTCTCATTTGATCTTCATGGCAACTTGGGGAGGTAGATAGATGGAACAGAGTTTATACCATTTTAGAAATAAAAGACTTGAGACTCAGCAGGATTGGATGACAGCTTGGAGTAATATCAAGTTTACAGCTAACAGCTGAGCTCTGGGGCCAGGCAACTCTGCTACTAATCAACTATGTGACCTTGGGCCTCTCTGGGCCTCAGTGTCCTTGTCTGTAAAATGAGCATAATCATAGCACCAACCTCATAGGCCTGTCCATTTGTCATTCGTTCAGTCATGAAATATTTACTGAGTTCCTATGATGTGCAGGGAGCAAGAGAGACAAGGTCATGGTCTTCATAGAGCTGATAGTCTATCGGAAAAGATAAACATCAACCAAGTACTTGCACGAGGGGATCTCAAACGCAGACATCCGCCTGAACCAGGGGCTTCCTAAATCACCTGAGCTGTGTGGGAGACAATAGGGAATGGTGGAGCCTGTGGAAAGCTGGAGAGAGCATGCCCCAGCCTAAAGTAACTCAAGTTGAAACAGTTTAAGCAACATATCAAACAAAACAGGACCTCAAGCCTCATTCAATGTGACAACCACCAGGTGTCAGGCCTTGATTTGCCTAGCTGTGATAAGTGGGAGGAGGGAAACAGGCTGTGATGTGGAGAGGTAAGAGGAGGGTATACTTGAGACTGGGGTCTGGGGGATGAGGAGGAGCGAGGAGGGCATGGATGGGGGAGGGAAGCTTCCTAGAGGAGGGAGACCAGACCCTTAGGCAGGTTAGGGCTTGGATCACACAGGGAACAGACAAAAGCTCAAGGCATCTGGGACACAGTAGGGAAAGAGAGGCAAGTGATAAGGCCGGACAGGTGGGCAGAGGAGGGGCACGGGACTTTATTTTGAGGACCATGGAAAGTCATGGAAGGATTTCAAAATGGCCGAAGGGTGAGTATTTGAAAATAACGGCACATTTATTAGGTACAAAGCTACTCTAATGAATTGGCTGATTCCAAACATCTCCACCACCCAATAAAATAGGCACCATCATTATCCCCATTTTACAGATGAAGAACTTGAGACACAGAGAAGTTAAGTGGCTGGCCCAAGATCACACAGCCAGCAGATGGCAGGACCAGGGCTCAAACCTGAGCATTCTGGCTCGAGAGCCTCTGCTCTTAACGTGCTGTGCTGCCTCGGAAGATCAGACAAGATCAAATTGGCGTTTTAAAAAGTTCATTCGGATTGCCAGTAGGAGTGCTGGGAGCTGGGGGTGGGGAAGATTAAGTAAGAGAAAGCATATAAAGCCATCAGCTTAGTGCCTGCCATCGGGAGTGCCCAGCGGCGTTAGATGAAATTATCCTCGTCATTATAGCAAGTCAATGAGAAAGCCAGGCGTGGGACCCAGGGCCCTGCTGCCCAGCCTGGTGCTGAAATATTTTTCCTTCCTGTCTCCTTTTAGTCCTCTTTGGAAAGAAACTCACCTTTTAACCCTCTTCCCCAAAGGGCTCTGCCAATCTAGGACTTCAGTCAATGATGAAAATGCCGGCGACGTCCCTGTCTTCAACCCTGAAGTGGTCATCGCCCACTGCTTCAAGCAGTTCAAGCAGGACGACTTCCACCTGCCTCAAAGCCGCCGGCGGATCATCATCGCACCTCCCAGGGAGGGTCAGACATCCATCAGTCCCACACCCCAACCCCAGGCTGCCCCACAGCCCATCCCCAGCTTCAAAACCCCAGAAGCTGGAGATATCCAAGAACAACTGGAGGATAGTAAGACCTGGCTGAGCAAGAGGGCAAAGCTACGGAAGGATCTGGAGTCCTTTGGCGACGTAAGGAGGTGGCTGGAGAACAAGCCCAGCTTCACGGCTTTGGAGGCCAAGGTCTCAAACATGATCCACGAGGAGCAGAACGTCCAATCGGAGGCCCCCGCGCCTACTCCCAGGACTGCCAAGGTGAGTAGCCCCATTTGCCAGATGAAGACGCCAAGGGTTTTCAGGACATGTTAGCATTTAGTTCCCTTCACTTAGGCAAGATGGGGATGGCTCGCCCCATTCCACAGAGGAGCAAATGGAAGTCCCAAAAGGGAGGCGTATTATCTATAGCTGCGTAACAAATACTCCCAAATGACTTAAAGCAACAAATATCTATTATCGCGCACAGTTTCTGGGAGTAGCTTGGCCGGGTGGCTCTGGCTCATTCTTCCATGAGGCTGTAGTCGAGATGTTGGGCTGGGCCACAGCCATCTGAAGGCTTGACTGGGGCCAAAGGATTCGTGTCCAAGCTGGCTCGCCCACGGGACTGCAGGCAGGAGGCCTCCCTTCCTCCCACAGGGGCCTCTCCCCAGCGCTGCTTGAGTGTCCTCAAGCATAGCCGCTGGCATCCTCCAGAGTGAATGGTCCAGAAAACAGAGCAAGGAGGCTGCAGTGCTTTCCATGACCCCGTCTCCGAAGGTGACAGTCTCGGTCTCAGAAGTTTCACGCTGTCGCTTGCACCATATTCTCTTTGTCAGAAGTGAGTCGCTGAGCACTGCCCACACTCAAGGGGAAGGACAGAAGGCTCCATCTTAGAAAGGAGGAGAGTTGAAGGATTTGTGGACAAACCTTAGAACCACCCCAAAAGGGATAACTCCTGGAAGTCCATCTTATGGGGTGTTTTAAAAATACTCATTGTTCGTTCATTTGTCATTGACACTTGTTTGCTGAGGGCTATATGTGCCAAGCGGGTGCTCACAGGGTCACTGTGAGGGTCACGATTGAGAGGTTGGGAGAAAAAGGAGAATCTTCCTTTTACAAATGTGGAAATGGAAGCTCAGCGAGGCCAACACTTTGTGCAAACCTAGACGGACAGTCAATGATAACGTCATTACCAACGCATCTCTCTGTAATATTTCCTTGCAATACAAACACTTGAAACTTTGAAACTTTTCCCAATTCAGGTAAAGTTGGCATAAGAGACCAGATAACTTGGGTTTAAACACAGCTCTGCTACTTCCTAGCAGTACAGTCTGGGCCTCAATTTCCTCATCTGTATAATGGGGATAAGCATTGTGCCTACCTCCTGGAGTTGCTGTGATGTCTATAAATGAATTGCTTTATATAAGGTGGCTAGGACAGTGCCAGGTACATAGTGACCACTCAATAAATGTTTGCCATTTTTATTGCTATTACCGTCTCATGGGTGTCATTTGGGTTGGTTGGCCCAGAAACTTCAGGATCAGTCCTTGCTCTTATCACAGCCGAAACCCAAATTTCAGGGGCCTACCAACACATTCTTTTCTGCCAGCTGCACAGTGTCTAGGAATAGGCACTGGACTTGGGTTAGAAACCCAGCTCTACTGTTGTTCCTGCTATGTGACCTTAGGCAAAGTCACTTTACCTCTGCCTCATTCCTTTCCTGTAAGTGGAGAAAGTGATGCCTGTACCTGTGCACAGTAAACAATCGCTGCCTCCCTGCCGAGGGCCTGGGCTTTGTTCAGTACAAGGCTGGGAGCTGGGGTACATCGCTAAATAAGACACAACCTTGCTCTGAAGGTGTCCTAATCTGTTTCCTGTTGCTGTAACAGAATACCTGAGACTGGGTGATTTATAAAGAAAAGAGGTTTATTTCCAGCCTCACAGATCTGGAGTCTAGAAAGGCCAAGATTGAGCGGCTACATCTACTTGGCTTCTGGTGAGGGGGCCTCGTGCTACATCGTAACATGGTGGAAGGCATCACAGGCTGGGAGGGCCACGAGAGAGAGAGAGAGCCCCCCAAATAGGCTTTTATAACAGACTCATTCTCGCTGTCATGATAACTGATTAATCCATTAACCCATTAACCCAGTAATCCATTAGTCCATGAATGGATCAATCACCTCTTAAAGACCCCACATCTTAATACTCTTACATTGGGGATTAAATTTCACCTGGAATCTCAGAGGGGACAGACATTCAAGCCATGGCACAAGGCGTTCACATATTAGTGCAGGAGGCAGACACTTCAGATTAATGGCTCTACAGTTTGCCACAGGCTGTTAATGGCAGTGGGTCCAAAATACCCCAGGAGCACAGAGGAACAGTAAGCCAGGGAACAGGAAGGCCCTTTGGAAACTGTCAAGTGCCGCCCCAAGGTAAGGGAGCATCACCATCACGAAATATTCCCTCTAGTCTAGAATTGGAGGAGTGGGCCTGGGGCAGGTAGAGACAGGGAGAAAGGTACTCCGGGCAGGAGGCCCGGCAGGAACAAAGGCTGGAGCCAGGAAGGGGTATGTGTTTCAGTGCACTGGGAGACCAGAGGGGCATCCGTACTGGCTTGTCTAATGGGAAAGATGGAGATAAGAAGGAGATTTTAGTTTTCCTGTCGTCCGAGTCTCCCATTTCAGACAACAAAACCCAGGGCCCAGAGAAGCGAAGTCTCCCAGGCAGTCTGCGGCCAAACACAGCTGTCCTGAATCCAGTGCCCGTGGCCCCCCATCTTGCTGTGTGTGGGCAGCCGCTCGGCCTCTCTCCCATCATTCTCTAACTTGGGGACTGTGTCCCATTGGCCTGTGTCCTTTGAACGCCTCCTCTGCCTCACTCTCTCACCTCTTCCAGAAGAAAGCCCCCCGACTCTGCCGCCGAATGGTGCCCCAGCTCCAGCTGCCCAAGCCCTCCGCCCTGTTGGCGCTGTTCTCCCACCTGCATGGCCGCAAGATCAAGGTCCTGGAGATCTTCAACAAGGTGGACCGTGGCGAGAACCAGAGAATCACCAGGGAGGAGTTCATAGCAGCCGTGAAGGCAGTAAGCGCCCCCGCTTCCTTCGGCCGGGCCCCTTTCCTGGACTCTGGGTCCATGGAAAAGTAGACACAGGGGGCACAAGTACCAGTATTGTTACCAGTAGAGCCAGATTGGACAATGTGGATTAACTGTGGTCAGACCAGGCCCTTAAAAGCACCCCTTACCAGTCTGACCTTGAAAGACCCCACAGGAGTGGAAAGTTCGCAGAGCCACCCTGCAACCAGCCAGCTGCCTGGCAAGTCCCTGTCTTGCCCACCAGACCCCGGACTGAGCCCAGAGAGACTGGGCCTTCAGTCCTGCCTCTAGAACCTTCTAGAGCTTCTCCAACTGTCACTGGCATATAAATCACATGGGGGAGCGTTAACAGTTCTTTTAGACATCAGATAAGGATCTTGTTAAAACACAGCTTCTGGCCCAGTACATCTGTGTGGGCCCAAGACACTGCACTTCTAACAAGCTCCTGCTGGTGCCTATGGTCCTAGTTTCTGGGCCACACTTTTACCTGCACTGGCTATTTAATAATATAAATTAATTTTAAATAAATAAAATTAAAAATCTAGTTCCTCAATTACACCAGCTATATTCTGAGTGCTCAGTAGTTACATGGACCAAGTGGTTCCTCTATTGGACTGTGCAGATGTAGAACATTGGCATCACCATGGAAAGTTCTACTGGTCTGACAGGGTCTGCAAAATATGGCCCACAAGTCAAATGCAGCCTGTCTCCTGTTTTTTAAAATAAAGTTTTACTGGAACACAGCCATACTTGTTCATCTATGTGTTTATTATCTATGACTGTGTTCATGCTGTACTGGCAAAGTTGAGTGGTTATGACAGAGACCGTATGGCTCACAAAATCTAAAATATTTACTATCTGTCCTTTCATAGAAAAAGTTTGCATGGGCACAGTGGCTTGCAACTGTAATCCCAGCAACTCAGGAGGCTGAGGCAGGAGGATTGCTTGAGGCCAGGAGTTTGAGACCAGCCTGGGGAACATAGCAAGACCCCATCTCTAAAAAACTGAAAAAATATTAGCTGAGTATGGTGGTGCATGCCTGCAGTCCCAGCAACTTGGGAGGCTGAGACAAGAGGATTGCTTGAGCCCAGTCTAGGGGCTGGAGGCCACAGTGAGCTATGATCACACCACTGCACTCTAACTAGGGCAACAGAGCAAGATCCCCCATCTCTTAAAAAGAAAAAAAAGTTGGCTAACACCCGGTCTAGATGAATTAAGCTTTTTTAATATATATTTTGAATATAAAGTACCTTAAAAAGAACTTTAGGAAGTTGACTGCTACATCTTTTGTGGTTTTAAATCATCCATTTTCACACATAGGTTTTATGACATGTAGTTATCTGAACATTACAAAGCATTTAAAACAACAAAAAACTAAAGAATCTTTAATCGCCATAGCCAAAAAGGTAAAATGTTAAATCTTTTAGCACTAGGAGATTTCTGATCTTATTTAAAGAAAGTTTGTACTTCTAAAGAAACTGAAGAACAAAATTATATTTCCTTTAAAGCTTTTCTTCTTGAATATTCAATATGGCTGGCAAGCATTATACACCTCCAGAGTTGCTCATGGTCCTTATAAGAGTAGGATGTATAGTATTCCTGATCCTACGCTGCTTCAGTTAAGGGAGGTTTATGAGATCCTTCTGGACAAGGATGATAGACATGTGAAATCATTCTCCGTATCTAGTGTGGTAAATGCTGTCACTGAGATTGGTGCTAAGTAGAGTGGGAACAAGAAATAACTGACTCTGTAAAGATGGTGACATCTGGACTGGGCTTTGAAGGAGGGATAGGAGTTTTTCAGGCAGAGAGGGAGGACTGAGCAAAGGCAGAGGGTGGGCAAGTGCAGGGTGTGTTCAGGGATGGGAAAGGGCTCTTCGTCCTGCAGCAGGCATTTTGGGTATGAGTGGGAAGTGGTTGCAGATGAAACTAAAAGCCGGGCTGTGGGGTGGGGCCAGGCGGATAAGGCTTTGGCCATCAAGGCAGGGCATTTGGATGGGAGCCTGCCAGTCTTGGGGGCTTCTCTTCTCTCCTCAGGTCGGAGTCCCTCTGAAGAACCAAGAGGTGGAGGATATAGTAATCTATCTCAGCTCTCTTGGGAAGCACAACGCCATCACCCTGGATACCCTGGCCAACACCTACAAGCAGTGGTCTGTGGCCCAGCAGAGGAGCACCCTTCCCACTGCGCGGGAGTGTGCGTACCCCTCCCCGTCCTGTGCCTCCCTGTCCCCATCCTGGGAGCGACCACGGCGTGGGCAGCCCTGGCCTCTCCTGCAGCACTCACTTTCTGAGTGTGTTGTCCAACTTTGGCCTACTGTCGTGTGACCAAGCCTCTGGAATGTCTAGGCCCGGAGGTCCACCAAGGAGCAGATATTCTCTTGAGTGCCCAGCTACCACTGCGTCCCTTTGACGATGAATGAGCTCCAGCCCATACCCTCAGAGGAGGATACTCAAGGGGTAGACCCAGCCCACTGGAGCCCACCTAATTAGCTAAGAACTGACCCAAACAGCAAGCCTTTCCACAGATGTTTATTTGTGTATGGGTCCAAGGCCTCCTTCCTATTAATCCATGCCTTATTGATAAAGTGTTAACTAAAATTTCTTGTTCAGAAATCAGAATTAGCAAATGTTTAGAGTTTACTGGAAAGTCTACTTTGATATTCTACTATCAGGGGATTATAGCACAGCTACTGTGAACAGTTGTAGAGGTTGTGCACAGCTCAAATTCCATTTGCCAAACTGTGTGTTTGTGGGGCCACATCTGTCCAAACAAGGCATAGAGGCAAATTAGAAATGGACTCGCTAAAGCTCTACGAATTTATAACACAAGGATGCATCATGTTTCTTTATATTTTAGTGCCATTGTTGTTGTAAAAAAAGAACAATTACAACTACTCGCCCATTCCAGCACCTTCCCCAAATATAACCACAGCTTTATTTTTCTAAATGAAGCAAATCTTGCTCTGCCCGTATCCACCAGGTTGGCGGGAATTTAATCTCAGACACGTTTGGCAGAGGGGGTGCTCCTTGTCCTCCCTGAGGTCATGTAAGAGCCCCAGAGGAGGTAGTGAGGGGGTTTCCTTACATAGTTGAAGATCTGGAGCAGGGTCTCTGGAGGTCCGGGTCACAGTGAACGGGGTGCGCAGCATCCTCACTGGCATAGTTCATCTGGAGGCAGCAGGTAGCTCCGAGCATCCGTTCCTCGGTCCCCTGGAGATTTCCCACATCCAGTCTCAACCAGCTGCCCTGCAGAGGCACCATCCCCTCCCAGGCAGGGTCTCTGCCCCTTCAGAGCCCAGGGAACCCGAGCGCCCCGACGGTCTCCTCCTGCCTGTATCACCACCCCCACGGTAGTCATTGCCTGGCATCTGTGCAGGATGCTTTGTGTCCAGAGCATCCTCAGGGTTGCCTCAAGTTGGGTACGCTTTCCCTCTGATGCTTTTTGTGCCTTTTCTTTATAAATTACCAAAGCTCACCTTTATCGGTGTAGCTGGCTGCGAGTCATTTGAGTGACCAAAATGTGCTGTGATGCATATTTGCAGCAAAGGTATTTGGGGCCTGTTAATTCCCAGGAAATAAACTTGAAGCAGCAAGTGTTCGCTTTAACAGTGCTATTTCAGCATCTTCACTGAGTCCTCTTCCCCTGGAGAGTGGCAGTGGGAAAGATAGGTGGACTTGGGTGTCTCTCACTTTGTCTAAAGGGGCAAGAATTTGGGTGCCTTGGCAGGGAAGTCCTCTGTGGGTCAGTAGCTCTTCTTGCAGAATTATCTCAGTTTATCCTTCATGTCCCCTGGAAGGCAGGGTTACTATTCGTGCTTTACAGGGAAGCAGCTGAAGCTCAGAGAGGCTGAGCCACTTATCCACAGTCTAAATAGAAGGTGGAGGGGCCGGGAGTTTATTCCATCTTCAGACAATGAAGGCCTGAACCAGGGAAGAGGCAATGGGAATCTTTCAGTCATTCAGATCTTTGTTGAGCAACTACTACGTGCCAGGCACACTTGTAGGAACTGGGAACATGGCAGTGAACAAGCCAAAGCCCCTGCCTTCAATGAGCTTACACATAAAGGGTTAAACAAGATGATGTCCAATAGTGATTCGTGCATTGAAGACAACAGGACAGAGTAAAGAGGTGGCGGCAGGGAAGGCATCCCTGAGCAGCCAACATTGGAGCTGACACCTGTGGTTGATAGGGGCAGTTTCAGGGCAGTCTGGAATGGCATCCTAGGCAGAGGGAACTGCCAAGGCAAAGCCCCTGAGGCAGGAAAGCTTTCAAAGGACAGAAAGAAGTCAGGGTGGCTGGGTGGAGTGGGCAAGGGGTGAACAGTAGATGGGCCAGGTGGGAAGGCAGCCGGGGAACAGCCTTGTTGCCTGGGGAAAGGACTCTGGATTTTAGTCTAAGCACTATGGAAACCCAGAGGAATGAGGTGATCTGGTTTATATACTTTATATATACGCATATGTATTTGAACGTTTTTGGAGACCAGGTCTCGCTATGTTGCCCAGGCTGGAGTGCAGTAACGACTCACAAGCACGATCATAGCTCACCATAGCCTCAGACCCCTGGGCTCAAGTGCTCCTCCTGCCTCTGCCCCCCGAGTAGCTGGGACTACAGAACTCACAACCATGCCTGGCTCTATAGTTTTTAAGGGTCCTATTTTGCCACTTGGTGGAAACAGGGTGCTAGAGGATGAGCATGGCGGCCGGAGGGCTGGGGTGGTGTGCAGGTGAGGGAGGCCATCGTGGACGTGGAGAGGAGGGACACATTCAGGGTACATCCCAGGTGGGCGCGGCCCGGACGTGTGGGAAGGGAGCAGAGGGAAGTCCTGGCGCCTGCTCGGTGATGTTGGATGACTGCTTGGCAGATGCCATGGTTGGGCACCGTCACAGTCCCTCCTTCCTTTGTCTTTTCCCTCTGACTCTAGACTCAGCCAAGCACAGAGCTTCCCCAAAGAGCCTGCCCAAGAAGCAGGCTGCGGATCCAGACCCACAGCCTGGCCAGATGGACCTGCTGACGGTGCCTGTGGTTGACACGCAGATGGAGGCGCGGCCCATGACCCTGGAGGAGATGGAGGACGTGGGCAAACGGTACTGCCAGTGGAAGCGGCAGCACAAGGTACCCCACCAGCGCAGGGAGGGGACAGGGCTTGGGGTTCAAATCCAGTGCAGTGGCACCACCTGCTGGCTGAGGGAAACTATCGTGAGGGGTTCTCACTTCTCCAAGCACGCACTTTCCCTCATCTGTGCAAGAATAATACCTGCCTCATGAGGTTTTTGTAAAGATGAAATAAAATCACATTTCTGCTGGGCATGATGGCTGGAGCCTGTAATCCCAGTGGCTTGCCAGGCTGAGGCAGGAGATCATTTGAGGCCAGGAGTTCGAGACCAGCCTGGTCAACATAGCAAGACCCTGTCTCTAAAAAATAAGAAAAATTAGCCAGGTGTCATGGTGTGCACCTGTAGTCCCAGCTACTTGGGAGGCTGAGGCAGGAGGATCACTTGAGCCCAGGAATTCAAGGTTGCTATAAGCTACGATGATGCCACTGCACTCCAGTCTGGGTGGTAGGGTGAGACCCAATCTCTTAAAAAAAAAGAGAGAGAGAGAGATCCCATTTCTGAAAGTATTGAGTTCCCCTCTTCCCATTCTTTTTTTTTTGAGACAGAGTCTCACTCTGTTGCCCAGGCTAGAGTGCCGTGGCTTCAGCCTAGCTCACAGCAACCTCAAACTCCTGGGCTCAAGCGATCCTGCTGCCTCAGCCTCCCGAGTAGCTGGGACTACAGGCATGTGCCACCATGCCCGGCTAGTTTTTTTTGTCTATATATATTTTTTTAGTTGTCCAGATAATTTCTTTCTATTTTTAGTAGAGACGAGGTCTCGCTCTTGCTCAGGCAGGTCTCGAACTCCTGACCTTGAGCGATCCACCCGCCTCGGCCTCCCAGAGTGCTAGGATTACAGGCGTGAGCCACCGTGCCCGGCCTCTTCCTTTTCTTTAATTACTTTTCTTCCCGAGACCAGGGCTGCATCTTCATCACAGCTGGTATCCAAGCACCTGGCACAGGGCCTGGCCCTGCATAGCCCCGTCTGAAATACATGGCAAGCAAAGGAAGGAAGGATTGATTGAATGACTTACTTCGTCCAATAAATATTTATGGAGAGCCTACGATGTGCCAGGCCCTCTTCTGGATGCTGTAGTGAACAATACAGTCCCTGCCCCAGGAAGCTGACAGCCTAGTCAGGGAGGCAGACAACATTAATATAATACTACATATAAATATGTAATATATAAATACAAATTTGCATATATAAAATATGTATAATAAAATGACAGATATTGGCAAGTGCTATGTCAACTAAGATGTGATTCAATTGCATAATAAGAAAACCCAAATGATAGAGTAGGGACTGGTGAAGTTCCTCTGTGAAGGAGCAGATAGTAAAGATTCTAGGTTTTGTGGGCCACATGGTCTTGCAACTACTCAGCCCTGCTGTTGCAGCGCGAAAGCAGCCACAGACAACACCTAAACAAAGGGGTGTGGCTGTGTGCCAACAAAACTTGGTCGTGGGCCACGTTTGGCCTATGGGTTGTACTTTGCTGATTCTGTTGTTAGAAGCTTTAAAAAGTAGTTTTTTTTCCCTTGGTTAAAAAAAAAAACAGCAGCAGCAGAAGGCGGTAGCTAATAAAAGTGGTTACATGTTCCCCAGGCCCTTCTACCTTAGCAAATGGCTTCCACTTCAAGGTCACCGATGGCTGCTCCTAAATTAAATCCCCATGCAGCCAAACATTTGGATGTCATTTTTCAATAGGACGCCTCCAGAGCATGTGTACTGTGCCTTGCTGCATATATTATACAATCGTGTATGCACATCCGTGTACAGGGCTGTGCACATAGAACCACACACGCTGACCATTCAAGTTCTCATCAGGGATGACCTTGACATGCGTGATTTTCCTCCTGAGTCATTGACCTGAACTGCAGCCCCACCAGGCATTGTTTTGCCATTGCCATTCAGCAGGGCCGCTGGGGGAGAGGTCGGCGAGGAAAACGCAGGGCAAGGGCAGGGCGAGCCTCCCTTCCATGCCTTGCAGATCTCCACGCCCTCCATCCAGTACACGGAGCGGTGCCGCCTGGTGCGCTGCGGGAACAAGCACTTTGACGAGCACTGCCTGCCGTCCACCGTCCCAGGGGAGATGAACAAGCTCGTTGGCTTGTCCCGCAGGGACACCTTTCTGGTCTACCTGCAATGCTGGAAGCTCTGTGAGTCCTATGGCCTCCCTCTGACGGAGGACATCCTCATGAAAGGTAAGGGCCTCGGTGGTTGGCCCTCGGGAAGATGCCAAGGGGCCCCAGGCTAGGGAGAGGGTAACATCCGCCTGAGGCACCCAATCAAGCTGCTGTGGCCTGTGGTGGGAACACTGGGAATAAGGATGGGGAGGAGAGGAGGAACAGCCCGACCTGTTTCTGGATGGGATTTCTAGAACACAGGCCTGAAGATCTGGGCTCCCCAGCTGAGATTTGGGGGTTTGGATTCCGGAGCCCTGAACCTGGTGAGTTGGAAGCTCTTCTAGAGCAGGAAGCTCCAAGGACGGGAGTTCCGGTGAGGGATCCCTGCGGTTGAGCATAAAGGAACAATCCCAATACTGAAGAGGGATATTTGACAGAAATGATAACTGCTATCAAAACCACTTCTCTAGACCAGGCCTGTTTCCTGGTTCTTGTGCAAGGAGCAATGAGGTAGGAATGGACCTGGAGACAGCGTCTGCAGAGGCCCCGTGCTCTCTGCTCAGACAATGGGACTCAGCTCCGAGATTTCCATGTCGCTTCTGCCCTCTCCTGGGGGAAAGAGTAATGTTTTCATATTATTTATCCAAGCTGATCTGAGCTGTCCGCATCTCTGGGTAGTGAGTGCTTCTGAGAGGCGGGAATGGGGGAGGGCCCAGCCCCTGATGGCAACTTAGCAGTGCCAGC